GGTTAATATAAATAGATTAAGAACACTTACCTTTTTTCTATAATTCTGAATGTGATTACCTGCTACATATATATTTATTGTTTAATTTTTTGATTGCACAATTCATTAGCCGTGTTACTATCTAATTCTATTTTTCTTATATTACTCTTGCGCCGGAAGAAATTTGATAGTCAATTGTATTGGTACAAAATACTTTTTTAATCTTAATTAATAATCGAATAAATTGTATTAATTAATTCATGATTAATTATTGGTTTATAAACTTTAACTAAAAAGTGCATATGTAAGCGGCAAAGACGGAATCGATTTAACAATTGTGTCCATATTTCAATACGCTTCATGATTTTAAATTTAAAAATCACTTACTTACTAACTAATATAAATGAATTATTATTACAAAAGAAAAAAAAATGCAATTTTTTATTTTCTTTAGATAGTACAATGTTCGATCAAAATAGAATTGGTTAATGATAGTTGGACTGAATTACGTGGTGAAATAGCTGGACCACCAGACACGCCATACGAGGGTGGTAAATTCGTATTGGAAATCAAAGTGCCCGAAACGTACCCTTTTAATCCACCAAAGGTAATATTTAAAAAGTTCCTCTTACATCTTATATCGCTAGATTCATACTTGATGAAATTTTCTTTTTTCCAGGTACGCTTTGTCACCAGAATTTGGCATCCAAATATATCATCAGTGACAGGAGCTATTTGTTTGGATATTTTAAAAGATAACTGGTAAAATTTATATATTCTTAAAAAACAATCATCTTTCAAACAAAAATTTTCCCAAATTGAAATTCCAAACTGATGAGAATAACAACAAAAATGTCTTATCTGCTTTTAATAGATTTCAATTATTTCTTTCCGTCCCCCAAAAATTTCATTATAATCGAAAGAGAATGAAAAAAATGTATTCTCGTTTTCGAAGGAATCTTTATTCCATCAAGAACCTTCTTTCACCTCAAGCTAGCACACATTTTGTTAAGAAATGATCGCGGATAAATGTTTGTCTTAATTATATATCTGCTAAGTGCAATGAACACTTTGTCGAAAAAACAGTACCACACATTGTCAAAATTAAAACGCACCTTTCATTAATCAGGTTGAACGGCTTCACTTGAGCAATACGTTTATGTCATCTAGTTAGGTAATCACTTCCTCACAAATTCCTCCAACTTTCACTTCACAACATTAATTAATTCAAATCGACTTTCAAGAGGCAGCAATGTACAGTTTCAAGGAAATGAGTTTTTCCAAAGGCAAAATAAAAATTCTTTGCAAAGTTGATCTTGATTAACGAGCTCAACAGTAGCAGCCAAACAAATGTAATTTACATCTGATAGTAGATGTGTTGATTTCAAGTTTGGTATAAAATGATTCCATAAGGTCAAGTATGAAGCTGCTTTTCGTCAACCAGCGAACACGCCCGTAATTACAAGAACATTTCCTACAACCTTCACCTGCATCGTTAAGGAGTCGTAGGAGACTACGTCTCAATGCAACAATAAATTCCTTAGTTATATTGATTTCAGATGATTGATATTAAGTTTTCCGTACCGCCGGCATGTTTGCATACTGTGCACAGATCCATTTTTAAAGTTATATTTCAATTATTACGCCTGAGGGAAAATTTGAGAATTTCAATAAAATGTAAAGGAAGAAACATTCTCGGATTTTAGGCAATGCGTGCACACATCAAGATATTCACTCATCGATATTGCAAGATATCAAATTGAATGAACCTCGATATTGCGGATGTAAAAGAAACACTACTTTCTACCCCATCGGGGGAGAAGCGATTTTTAAGAGTGAGAAAGAGTGAAAGAGAAAACTATTGGAATAATAGTAACCCTAATACAAGTGCCTACCTTAAATTAACTTAGATATTGCAATAGCTTTTAGCTAATCATGTTTAATCATTTTCATTTTTCTTTTCTTCTCTTCTCTTCTCTTCTCTTCTATTTCAATGAAAAGGGCGGCTGCGATGACTTTGCGTACCGTTTTACTATCGCTGCAAGCTTTATTGGCCGCCGCTGAACCCGACGATCCTCAAGACGCAGTGGTAGCCTATCAATACAAAGATAAACCGCAATTATTTGAAATGACCGCACGACATTGGACCAATGTTTATGCAGGAGGTAAATTATTGTGAAAAAAAAAATTTTAATCAAATAATTTAAAAAAAATTATATTCGGCTTGAGCCGAATCTCGCATACCCACCATTATGTTTTTCGCATTCTACTCTTCAAATTCTTTGATTTGATACCCATATCGCTGGTGTTATGATGAAAAAAAGTAATCGGGGTTGTCTCTACCATATTCATTTTAAAATTAAACCATTTTTAGGCAGATAACGTATCTTCATTTAAGGAGAATATACAAAATAGTTTTTAACCATTCGGTCTTGTTTGCCTTATGATAAATAAGCATAAAATCTCGAAAAAGTGTAAAAACAAAATTTAATCATTTGTTACTTTGTGTGATTATTGCAGATATTTTCCATTTTTGCACGTAAGGAGTGAGGTAGAGTGCTTCGTAAAGTAAATGTGGAAAATTTCGGCCTACCTTCTAACTTTTATAATTTTCCGAGTAACGAGCAAAAATCCAATAATTTTTGTTAAAAAAAAAAAAAAACGGAATTGAGTTCAGATTACGCTCGACTGCGCGCTTCCGTTCCGACGTTCCGATTTGGCCCATAGCTCATAACGAACCTGCGTGCAGACACTTCCGCAACGTTTCTACTAAATTTGAAGTCGACATCTTCATTTTTTGCGACAAGGAGAGTGCGAACAACACACACCACACACCCACAGACACACACCGACGGACAGACATGGCTAAATCGACTCAGACTTTCACGCTGATCCAGAATATATGTATATACATACTTTATAGGGTCTCTGAAGCTTCCTTTTGCTTGTTACATACATTATTGGAAAAAAAGCAATATGAGTATACCCCCATCTTACAGTGGTGGGTATAAAAAAAACAATAGTAAAAACAAAAAAAAAAGAAAATAAAAGGAATTTCATTTCAATACTTTTAGGTCCTCATAGATATCCGGATTGTGATGCAAAAATTCAACGTTTACAAGATATGGGCATTAATGAACACGATGCTCGTGCCGTTTTATCAAAAGAGAATTGGGATTTGGAAAAAGCCTCCGAAAGTCTTTTCAGTTAGCTTTATTAACATGAAAAGCCTTTTAACTTAAGACTCCATGGACGAGTCTTCAATTTGCGTGAGCACTATTCTCTTTTTAATTTTGTCGCTAACGGGTGGAGAGTAAAAAATCAATGCGAAGCACGTCAACCCCAACAAACGGAGATCTCCAAGTAATTCTCGAAAAACGAAGGAAGTTTTGTCCCTAAACAATTATCACTCTACTCTCTCTCTCTCTATCTCTCTTCTGCTTTACTTACATATTAATTTCTCCTTTCTTTTTTTCTCACAGTAACGATAATGTTGTTAAAAAAGAAAAGTTTTTTTTATTTTTGAAATTTTTTGCTCTTTATTTTTTAACTCTTTAATTTTTTGACCATTTTTTCATTTTTTTGTTTATTTTTATTAATGATTTATTTTCGATATCATGATTAAATTTTTAAGACTATAGTTGAAAACGTTGGTTTAAATGATTGACTTACAGAATCGCAATATTTCCAAAAATAATTTGTCAAAAAAAGAGTAAAAAATTGTTTTTTTTTTTTTGTTTAGGTTTTTGCTAACTAACCCGATTGAAAAATGGAAAAATTTTATTATTGTCTTTATTTTATACAATTTCTTATAAGCAAAAAAAAAAAAAAAACAAAAACAAAAAACAAAAAAATTATATATATATTATTAAGGATTACCTACAAATTCTTTGGTTAACGTCAAATAAAAATTATAATAAAAACATACAAAAATTAAGATTTAAACAAACATAAAATAAAAAGTAATAAAACTGTGTTAAATAAAAGGATAAAAGAGCGGATTGAACTTCTCCTATATCTCTCTACTCTTACACTGAAAAGGCATAAGCTATTTAATCAGCAAATCCTAGAATTCATCTCAATAAAAATAATTATTATTTTGTCGTGAAGAAGAACAAAATACGAAGAAAATTTATATCGCTGCTCACGAGTAAATTTTCAAAAGCACCACCTTCCACCATGAAGATCTTAAAGTACTTGATTGAAAATACATCCTATACAACAAAAATCCCTATCATCGTTTCCTTAATACTTACGCGTCTTTAAACGAAACATTCTTATGTTGGCGAAGATTAAACGCTATGTAAATAATGAGTATAATGCCATAAGAGAGCAATGCCATAATCGCTTAGTGTCTTTGCTCGCCTTGCGTGCTGTAGCCAGAGGGCCCTCGTAAATCTTGAACACATAAAAAGCAGCGCTCGTCTGACTTATTACATGGCTTGAGAAGTAATCATAAAGAAATCAATGTAAATGATAACAAGGTCTTATAACCCTTACCTGAAAAAGGATTAGGCCAAAGAGCATATAACCCACGGAATCAATAAACTGTTGTTGCAAGACGCCCTACTAAAAGAGAGAGCTCTTTCTGTCGCCGCCATAGAATGATATTATAAAGGCTAAGCAGAAGTCTGACTTTAATCAAATGAACGAAGGCACAAATCTACGAACATAATGATTATATCTCCTCAAAGAGGATTTATATCTTATTACGTGATTACATAATAGACTCAATATCTTCAGGTTTGGAATACTCGGCATAACTATATGCTTGATCGCTTTAATTTCGGAAAAAGACATCCAAGCAAATCAAAATATATCTCCCCTTCATTGAATATGTGTCGAAAATCATTTGGAGACTTATAAAAAAGCGTCTCTCCCCACAAATATGAATGGAAGGAATTTGATGGCACGCAAATGGCACAAGGAACTTATCCATTGTATGGAATAGAATAGATGGCGGAGACATGTAAATGCTTTTGCTTCCGAATATTTGGATCTCTTTGCTTTATTAGCATTTTTCTTAAGTAAGTGCTTTAGTGTTAACAAGCAATTAAACACCTTTCACCGAACTTGTTTTGTAGATCGGCTTTCTATTTTTTTGTTTTTGTTTTTGTGTTATTATCGGTTGGCCTGTGATGGAAATTTGTACTTTTTCAACTGTGGATAATCCGAGCTTGCAATTCTCAAAGCAAAGGGACTATGTATGATCGAATGATGTCTGATGACTACTCTCTAGCAACAAATTAAATACAACCTAAAGGAAGAGGACTGCGCCAGATTTTAACATAGTGCTCCTGTAAATTTATATTTATTCATTTATTTATTATTGTTAACAATTTATTTACTTTTATTTATTTTTATTTTTATTTACACACATGAAACTCAGCTAATATCAAATTACAGCGGAATTCAATAGACTCGTAGAAGTAAATCTTATGCTAATTATTAATTAATTAAAATAAAATATATAAAGAGGAGTAAAACAAAAAAAAAATAAATAAATAAATAAAATTCATGCATAAATAAATAAGAGAGGAAAAAAAAAGGAAAAAAAGCTTGTGCAAAGGCACACCAACAGCCGGTACAGACCCGAGTTGCGAACGAACCTCTAAGCCATTGCAAACATGCAAACGTTTGGCGACCGATTACAGTAACCAACACCAGCTAATTTTCGAATCGTAATGAGACGTTAAAATTGCCAGTTAGCTTAAATAGCTATCTTGATAGAATATAAAGAGTCCGATATTGAGATTAAGTGGCTGATGCACAGATATCGTTTAGGCTTCTGCAATTGAATCCTTTTCGTAACATTTTTTTTTTTTTTCGAACTTAACTTGAAGGGAAAGAAATTTGCTCTGTCATATGTAAATGTGCAACGCTCTCTTTTTATATTCTCGAGTATCAAAAGGCAAAAAATGTAGTATTCCTTGGGCACCACTGACTGCGTTTTATATGCTGGCGATACTCCCAAAGAACAGATTCACAAATGACGACTAAATTTACCTCTCAACACTTTGTAGCGATTGTGTATAGCGCACAAGATAAATAGGAAATAGTTTGTAAATATAACCTTTTAAGTTTTTTTTTTTTTTTTTACTACAATTTTTATTTAGTGTATGTATATCTAAAAAAAGAATCTGTATAAAATATATAATAAACAAAAACAAAAGAAAAAAAAAAGAAAAAGAAATTACTGTTGATTTGTACGATCGTAATATGTAATACCACTTGCTTGACTTGCAGAACTTAGAGCTGAGTTTTTCGACCTTGACGGTTTTAGTGCCAGTGAAGTGCTACTCGAGCTGCTGCCACAAATGCCAAATGCTACTGAGCTGGCGCTAACACCCAATGCTCCCATACGTTGTTTAACGCTATCTTTCCAATCTTGCTCTAACCGTATATAAGTACCGCCTAATGGTTTTACGACATAATTCTGTTTCGCTTCTGTATTAGTTTTCTTTTCCACAAGATCCATAAGTTGTTTCATAACTTTCTCCTCATATTCGCGTTGATGATCTTGATTGCTGCGTGCAGACAATTCACCGGACCATTGGCGACCAGATAGTTCAGAACTTTTGCTATTACACGAATCGCAATGAAAACATAAACCAAGACAACAAAAAATAGAGAGAAGCTTAAGAGTCGACAATACATTCGACTTGTTCACGCAAATAGAATATCACAACTAAATCAAAGGAATGAACCCATGGGACATGGAACCTGTACTTTTTTTTTTTTAATCAACATTCGATGAATTCTCGTTTATTTAATTGCGTTTCACTTTTTCGTTTCCAAAAAGAGAAAAACGCATCGCGAACTTCTGAAATGCTATTTGCGGCGAGAATATCGCAAAAGAAACTATGGGTCAGAACATTGTGAACATTCTGATTCTGGTCAAGGCTGTTAGTGTCAGTGCCTAGTGTTAATGTCAAGAAAACTAGGTTTATAATTTAACTCCGACTCGCGATATATAACTATTTCGTATATCTAAATCAAGGATTGTCCGAAGAAATTTGCAAGAAACGTGAACTTGATTTTTTCTCCTCAACGGATTGGTGCCTATATGCCGTTCCGCTATAAGTAAGAATTAGCGACAATTCGAAACGCGATTTCGTTTTTCCACTTAAACGAAAACAGAGACAATAAACAAATATAATCGAATTGATTGGAAGTTTCGTTCCCTATGATGGGCGTAAAATACGAACACAAAGGGGTTCTTCATCTCTAGTATTGTAGGGTTTCAAATCTAAAAGAACTTACTTTTTCTTTCCTGATTTAAAGTTCCCTAGCTTTTGTCCTTTCGAAGTATCTGATGATTCGTAGCCATCGCTACTTGTTGAAGAGATGGTAGACAAGCTACTTAGATGACTTCGTTGATCTGTTTGTTTCTTTTTCAATTGCTGCTGCTCGTTGGAGTCTAGACTTTCCGATTCGGTGCTAGAATCAAAAAAAAAGTTTGAAGCCGTTGCGCGCCGAAATAAATGGGAATTAGATCCTAGATGATATGGTAGAGGGTGATAAAAATGTTATTTATAAGATTTATATTAAAGAGTTACCAGCGGGATTTAAAGTAGGCAGTAACCCCTGGCGACGACGTTGCGGCAATAACGACATTCCCACCCAACGTGGTTCACATTGCCCGGTCGCAGCGATTTCCTTTAACTTCCAAGGCGGATGATCACCTAAAGCGCAGTTTTCAGAAGCCAATTGATATATAGCAAGTATAGAACGTTCACGGTCAGTTTCGACCAACACGCTATGATCGCGAAATTGGCAACCCTATTAAAAAGGAAAAAAGAGGAGGAAGAAGAAGAAAATACTCCCTCAACCCTAATAAAAAAGATTTAAAGGAACAAACATTTTGTGTTATTAAAGTCTCGAAACGAAAAACTTGTTGACCACAGCAAGCGTAACGTCCAGCTGGACCACTCATACGACCTTCAACAATAGGTCCAAGAAAAATGGGCGATTCGGGATGATAACGACACCAGCACATCTAAAAGTCGATTCGAAGTTTATCATTTAAAATCATATTTAAATCATTTTTCTAAAAGCGGAAACCTGATGAACGGGAAAATATGTTTCGCAAAGACAACAATACAAATAGTGGGCATGACCCCATAATTTCCAATAAACTAATCTCCACGATTTCACTTCCTTAAACAATTGGGTTATGTAAGAGCTTAAATCCCAACTAGAATCACGTGTATGATGGCTTATAACTTGACCCCAACGATTCAAGCGCACATTGCTTGGTATACAGCTTACATAAGATTTCATCGTATTGGTTAAATATTTATGACATCTAAAATATTTTATGCAACATAAAATTCATATGCAAAAAATTCATATAAATACTTTGTACAGCGAAATAGACCGGCCAATGTATAGTGATGACCCCTTAAAGCTTCCGGTTCGCTCTCACAAAGGCTTTGTATAAGCTTAATCCACAGACGCGGGGCTAAACGCTCCTTTTTGTCTTGAACCATTTCCAATTCGACATTAGTAAACATAGCTGCCAAGCGCGTCACTATCGTATCATTTAAACACGACAAGTTATGACTCGCCTTCACCACCTCATCTAAATTGGCGTGACAATAGCTCAAGCAGTCCAACAATAAAGGTTCCATCTTATTATAATATACGAACGAATACATATATCGTTGATATAAGGTGGTCGATTAAGATTATGTATATTTCTTTGAAATATGTCGAAGTACCTGTAAAAAACTAGCCGACACCAATATGGGCACTACATTAGCTAGGCTTAGTTGCGGTTGACTTTCGAATGGTCTGATATTATCGTTGGGGGATGTTGAATTTGAAGTGAGGGGTTCGGCGGAAAATTTCATCCATTTCATAAGCCAATCGAATATCTGTATATCGCAGTGAACGGAAATGTCTATATCGTCTAAATTTTGGCCAGCCGTGACATTGGCAAAATAGCCCATCTTACTAATGAGCAAGGTCTGAGGGCACGCAAAGTCCCTGGATGTGTTTTTTACTTCATCGCACACATGGATAATAACCTCCGCTCTACAAGATCAATCAATGCAATCACCATCAAAGAAAACTTAATAAAATGCATTTAATTAAAACTTACTCCTTCGATGGACTTTCTGGTTTACTGAGTGATGCGCTCGTTTTCCGCTTTGCATTTCTGGACTTTGGCGAATCGATCGCTAAATTTAATTCCGATGTGGATCCCTCGCTCCCACCTGGAAGCACTGTCACCGACGTGAGGAGGGATTTGTCTCTGTCACTTTTGCCTTTAGGCTTTAAACGGTTTGTATAATTGTTCGGAAGTGGAATCGGGCAAATGAAAGGTAGCACAGAATCAAGCATACCCTCGTTGAGTATGGTGTCTAACTTGTCATTTAATTTTGATTGTAAATTTCCATCAGCTACATTTGTTGGAGATTTAACCGTACGCCCACATACCCGAGATTGGCCAGAGTATTTAGTACTACAATTACAATTTTGACCAGCAGTTCCACTACTGGTTGCAACACTATTAATACAAGCGCGATTACTACATGTACCATGGGTGCTAGCACCGTTGATATAATTGTCAGCGATTGTTCGGGCATTACGCTGACCTCCGTATAAATCGTTTAATAAGCGATTCTTCTTCAATTTGTCGAAGTCTAGCGTCTTCTCAATATTAAGAGATTTATTCGATGGCCGCCCTGACAATTTGGTCAATTGACTTGCGTCGTTTTTCGCTTGCGTTTGTTGTTGCTGCTGAAATTCACTATTTTCAGAAATCATGTCATTTACATGACAAGATAAATTTAAAAAATCCAAAAAGTCATTCAAATTAATTTCCTTCTCTAACAGATTGCTTTCATTCGATGACGGCGTTTGTGACATATTCTCGCTCGCATTGTTGTTATTTAATTTATGATTTTGAAGAGACATCGTGATGAATAGAATAGGAGCTAATGAAATTTGCTAAACTCTTTTGATTATATTAATACACATGCAATATTCATCTAAATAAAAACATTTCGTTACTTAGCAACATGTGATATGATAATCTCTTCTGTGAGCCCCCCAAATTAATAAATCATAATTCAAAAATAGATATGTCAAAAATAAAATTATACATATATGTCAAAAATGGTGTATTTATTTAAAATATAAAGCGTTTTCTAAACCTTCACTGTATTATTACAGTTTCTTTAATTGTTTCGACGAAAACAGTCCCTGTTTAATCAAAACCATATTTAACTCATAATCATAAGATAGGTGAAAAACGATAATGCATCCCAAATACAAATCTGTTGGTAATCCATTTTAATATATACAAAAGCTAAACATTGATGAATTGCGTTTGACATTTTTCCCCGAAATTAATTTTAATATATTATAAAAGTGGAACAATCTAAATGATCTGGCATCATTCTTATATTATTCTTCTTTTCCGCTAAATACGTTCGCCATGGTAGGTTTGTTTGTTGAATTTTGAGGAAATTTATCTTAAAAAATCATTGTCATTGAAGTATAAAAATACATATTCAATGAATTTATTCGAAATTTTATTCAATTGCGAATTATCAAAATATGTTATGAATGATAAAGGCGATGTTAATTTTCGGTTTTGCTTGTTTTTTTTCTTCCCCTCTAATAACTTATATTATGTAAATAAAAGGGTCGTGTAAGAACTAAGACAGTGAAAAAGGCCGCTAAGGTAATTATTGAAAAATATTACACGAGGCTTACATTGGATTTCCACACCAATAAAAGAATTTGTGAGGAAGTCGCAATAATACCAACAAAGCCGCTGCGAAATAAAATTGCTGGGTAAGTTTAATCATAACTAATAGAATATTTTAAAAGTATAAGCATTATTTTTGTTTTTTTATTTAACTTCTGAAAGCTATGTTACCCATTTGATGGGACGTCTACGCCATTCCCAGGTTCGTGGCATATCTATAAAACTTCAAGAAGAAGAACGTGAACGTCGCGATAATTATGTGCCCGCTGTTTCCGCCTTAGAGCAGGACATTATTGAAGTTGATCCAGAGACTAAGGAAATGTTAAAACTTCTCGATTTCCATAATATACGTGGCTTACAATTAACCACTCCATCAACCAATAATTTCAATCGCAGAAACTGAAATTTTTTTAAATTTTATATGCATTATTAGAGTAATTTCCTATTCTGAACAGTATTTTGAAGATGAATTGTTATATTTTACCTTCTTGCAATTCGTCTTCAAACACTGCCCAGAATAGTAAAAGTTAAAATATAACAAGAAGAAACAAGAGATTAATTTCGGTTGATTTTTGTTAGGACAGCGGTGAATGGGTAAACCCATGTGAAATGCTAGTGAGTAGTGTTTTAATCATGAATTATATTTGAGAAAAGAATCGAATAACCTATGATGAGAAGATAACAAAATGACTGATATAATTTTCAATAACTATATCGTGTTTCAGAAACTCATTCTCTTTGAAAAAGGCCACAAATTAACTCAAATTAATCATCACTACAACATTCCATCAGCATCATCATAATGAAATTTAAGAACCGTTTGACTCTATAGATAAATAACGATCGGTTGCTCCATATTTATGCATATGTATATATATTTTTTCTATCGTAACGGTACTGTAAGGTGAGACTGAATTGTCCATTGTTCCTTGAACGGCCGTTTTGCAGCAACGATTAGAGCAAATATTATGATTCGTTAGCCTTTTCTTGATCATTGTGTTATTTTTCGGATGTGGGAAGTAATAGTTCAATAATATAAACACTTAGGCTGGGTTCAGTTAGGTTGTACTCATTAGACCGTCTATTTTGCAGCAAGATAACGGACAGCCTTAAGAGCATTTTGTTGTTCAAAGAAATGCATATGAATTCTCAATAATTATTCAAATTGCTTTTGGTTTGCTCCTCATGGTCGACAAAACGAAAAAGTGATTATTTCAAAAAGCGAAACTGAAAATTTGTCTATCGATTCCCAAGCACTCTCTACCACCACCAATCTAATATGTGACGGAGTGGGGCCTATGATACAAAACTACGGTAATCTACGGTAATACTAACTCAATCGCAGAAGCGAAATTTGTTAATTAATCGTTTTACATTTCCTTATCGTGAGGTATCCCTTTGGTCCAAAATTAAGATAAATTTTTCTTTTTTTTTTATGACGCCTGTTTACACTTCAATAAATAAGAAAATATTTTTTTCCAGTTTTGTAAATTTTAATTCGCAGATCATATTAGAAATGTTTAGCCAAATGCAATAATGTGAAGAAATTCCATTATTTTAAGAGAGTAGTTCTTCTATGTAGTGTCTTATATTTTCTGCCTCTTTCCATTTTTGCATATTTCTAGTAAGACCAGTCATTAGACTTGCAGCAACTTTTCTCATAACTATCTCATTTGTTTTTTTTTTTCCCAACATCATGAATACTTCGTATGGGCTTGAGGTTTCATAGTAGTGTTAGTACGGTCTCAAATTTTCCCGTTTCCTTCTGCGGTGCTTTTATTTATGTGTTTTGGTCAGTCCTAATTCGGAAAAATCGAATTTTGGCAGGAAATTTCCTTCAATCTAATAATTGCGATAGTAATTTAGATGAAGTGGCAGAACCTTTTAAATTTGCAGACAAGGTTGAAGAATATTTACGAAAAGCTTTGTTTTAAATTTAAGGCAATTAATCTGCAAATTAAGCTGAGTGAATGTAATGTATGAAAAAAAAATGATCCAGGGTTCCTGTGAAACAGTTCTCGCCATGCTTGCTGCTCTCCTCTCAGTGTAAGTATAGCAAGCGTACGTAATGGTATCGTCTTGTTTTTCTTTGTAACGAGCAGACAATACGAGTGCGTTATCATCATTTACTTTTCACATTTAAAAATTTTTTAACAGTCCTGTTTTTGATATCTTTATTTCTATTTCAACTATTGTTGCCAAACATACATAAAATAAACAAATAAATATTAAAAACGGGCTTATAAAATACGAATACGATTACATCGTTTCTATATTAATTATATTTCTCGCAATATCCCCGTCTTTCCATTTTCTAAACATAATCTATTGAACAGCTGTTTAAATAAAATTTATATTTTGTACGCAAAAATTTACCCACTCTGTATATAAAATAAAAAAGTTAAATAAAAACAATTAAATTTAAGCAAATTATTAGAAAATTTATGTTATCAATGAGCGCAAAAAAGGATTTCTTTTAAATATTTGACTAATTGAAGCGGAACGAAATTTGTGACTTTGTAAAAATAAGAGGTAATATAATAATAAACCATCGCCTGCCATGCAACAAATCTATAATAGCTTACAAGCATTACAATCAAGCGTCGGAGTAACTGTTAGCAAACTTCAAGGAAATTATACCGTTTAGAACAAAAAAAAATAATAAAAAAAAAATAGTTGTAAGTGCGCATATATATGTATGTATACTTCACTTGCCGAAGAGCGGGAATGGGAGCTTTTCATGGATGACAACAGTTCGTGTTTAAGCATTCAGCCAGCTTATCTGAACAAAGAGACTAGATATATTATGCATAAAAACTTATCGTGGCAACGACGAGCACTCCACAAATCAATGTATATACATTTTTGTTAAAATAGTAAAAATGCGCAAGAGTAGCGCAGCCACATAATTTAGTTGTTACAAATTAACCAGACGTTACGGATGTGATTCTATGCGGGTAACTGTTACAATTCGTCTTCTATATAAAGTATTAGAAAAAATAAAAGTCGTGAGTTTTTATAAAAAAAAAAAAAAATTTAAGACAAAACAACCGTCAGCGGAGTATTCTATAGTTTGCAAAATATTTCACGCTTCAAAGGATTTCCCCAACTGTTAATTTTTTTTTTTTTTTTTTATTATTAAGTTACTACGCTATAGTACTCTGCGTACCTTTATCAAAACAGTAAAAAAAAAGAAAAAAAGAAAACAGACTACCTTGCTTTCTTCTGCCCCTTTATATATATATATATAGATGTATATATAAAGAGAATATTTTCAATTTTTTTCAAATATCATTTTCTAATCAGTTTTCCTAACATTATTTTCTTTTCATTTTCATTTCGGTAGATTTGAAAAATTTAAACGCTTTTTTCCATGCTATTCGGGTTTTATTATACAAACAAGATAAAATTCCAATCGATAAAAGAGCAAAGAACTCAACTACATTCACCCTTCATATCATCTATGCAAAAAGGATAAGGCAACTTTTAGCATCCATCCTCTTTTTTTTCTATCATCACAAGTTATCCTGTTAATATACAAACTTGACGCCTAGCCGAGCATTGTTACTGCCAGGCATCGTTGTTGTTAGCATCCTACCTACGCACTGTTTTTTTTTTCCTTTTGTTTAATTCTCCGGCAGCAAATATCAAGAAAGGTAAGTTTCAACTTCAAACACAATCTATGTATATAAAAATATTGCGCCTATATATTGCGAATGTATACATTTAGTGTTAATTTATTTACATTGTTGTCTTCACCATTTATGGCCATTTTTCCGCGAAGGTAATCTTTAACCGCGTGTACGTGTTTTATAATTATGCTTATATTTTTTAATATTTAATTCATTTCTTATTTCCGTAAACGATGATGATCTCATCAGTTATTCATTTTTTATGTGAGATTTTTTTTCTTTCTATATATCACATTAAATATAATGCAGCAGTGTATTGTTAATAGTTTTAATTAAGTCATAAGCACATATACTGTTGACTTAATATAATGGTTTTAATATTAAGGGAAAGTAATAATAAAAGTAAGATGTTAAGGAGATGTACGTTATATAAATTATATTTTACACTCTTAAAAATCGTTCTGCTTCTACTATTATTATTTGTTAATTATTATACATAGAGCCAGTTGAGTCATCTGCTGTGCTAAAACATTCTACAACAATGTAAATTTTTAAGCAAAAGCTATGATTCTCTTTTAAATGAATTTGGGAACCACTTTGACAAACTATCGGCTATAAATTTTAAAACATCGTTCTCTTGTTTTTGTTATTATGGGTTACTCGGGCTTGTCGAAATGTTTTCGATAATAAGGATGCTTCAGCATTGAAGGAATAGAAAAACATGATAATACTTTTCAATGTTTTCGAAATGTACTTTACAGATTTTGTAAAATTTGAGATTCATGTCATTTTTCTCATATATATCTTTAAGCCGATGAATGGCGCATTTATGTTACAAGGTTTCTTCCTTTCTTATTTCATTTTCTAATGGGCTTGACAGGTTGAGTTTTTGCCTCTGCTCTAGCAGTAGTAGAAGTAGTAGACACGTGAAAATCCAAGTACTTTTTTTTTTTTTTTTTTACATGAAAATGTTGCTAGCAAATCATAAAAAGCGAAATATTTAACTAAATACTTAACATATAATAAAGGATTCAATTGCTTGTTAAGCATTTGTTTATTAAAAGAAATGGAATGCTGCACGTAATTCAAATTTTCTATCGTCTGTGCTATGTGTGTTGATTTATGGTTTAACGATAGGGGTTATTATACATATATAGGAAATTGCGTCCACCCTAGAGAAAATTTCACAATTTTTTTTTCTTCAAAAATTTAACTTAACAACTTTTAACTTTAAAATTAATGTAAAAAAAAAAAAAAAAATAGTATGCATATAGACGCGTACGGCTATGTATGTACGTGTGTGTATTGCATATAACTAGGTATTTAAAATCAAATAATGGATAATTGTTATGTAGACTTAAAAATCATGCTCCACTTTCTAAAGCCATACGCCGTAAAAGTACATCAGATACAATAACAAGGTAGAGTTTATGCTCATTCGGCTTGCTTTTGGAGCCTTCTAATGATCGCTGCCTTTAATACATTTTGGTATTTGAAAAACAAAAGGAGATCTTAATCTAGTCGAGAGTTATATCGATTTGATCTATTTGTTCTATTAATTCTATTAGTTGTAATGCGCGGGCGTAGAGTTCTTCATTAGGAGCGTATCTTATCGATTTTCACTTTCAACAAAGTTATGGTTTCGCAGTCCGCATATCCGGTATGTTGGGCCCCAGTTAGAAGTAACACAACAAAGTAAGTTAAGAACATCTTCAATTTAATCACAAGAGCACTGCCATGTCAAGCTTACGTCAAACACAATTCTGATGAACGTATGTTCTTGATCTATGCATAATTTTCGGTTCACATGGAACGATTCAAATTTCTCTTTTTCGTGTTTCGCAAGCTTCAATTACAAGGCTCCAGAAGCAAGATCAACATAAAGGTTATACTTGATCTGTGAGGTTGTTAAAGGTAAATTAAAATAGCGTAGTAAACTGATTACGTGATTTACCTGAGGATGAAGGTAAAGAAAATTTTAATTCTATATTAGCTGCTCTTGAGGATTTTTGAGGTTTCTTTCAACAAATGCGGTCGAGACATGTCGCCATTTTGAGATTTGATATACATACGTATCAAGTAGCAGGCGGATGAAAGATTAATTGAATGAATAGTTGAACTACTTTATTGAACTTGTTACGATAAAGTAACTCGAGCATAAGTATAAATTGGGGACTTGCACATGTGAACGCATTATCTGTCTGTATCCGTTACGCAAAAGTATTAATAATCGCCTTAAAGTGTATAAAACGTACGCTTTTTGAGCTTGAAGTAAATTAAATTCGGCGCGAAAAAAATAAATATTAGATGACAGATGACAGATGACAGATGACTTTATTTTCTGATACAATATTTAGAGCAGCAAAATTCACGTTAGAGTCATTGAAGTTGAGGGTAATGCCAAACATGTTTCCCATTCGGTAATTAAGAGAAATGTTTGGATATAGTATCTGAAGATCTTCTGAAGAACTTTTCCAACAATACAATTGAGTCAATGAATTAAGCAAAAAAGGCTGAAATGTACAAAGCGAATTGTCGATTGATCTTTCAGCATGACGACGCCCGATCACGTATTGCAAAAAAATTATCGAGAAAATGTAAGCAGCACAAAACTGAGCCGTGCTGTCACTAGGTATTACTTACTACAATCAACTTTGAGCTATGCAGCCGTATTCCTTGTGTTGTGACCCTTCACTACTCTCATATACAATAGGTTGTGATTATCTTTTTGTTGCAAATTTTCGTTTTTTTTTTTCTTTTATTTGCTTTGTATGAAATTCACTATACCGGAGCAATTTTCGCCATAAAACTCTCGAATATTAATTTTATTATAAAATAAGAACTAAAAAAAAAAAAAAAAAATGCCTACAACAACTGTTTTTTGCCGTCTCCGTGATGTTGCTCAGGATACGGCTGATTGCCTTTTTCGTTTGTTTGAGCAACGGTTGCATTCTTGAGATAATAGCCTTAAAACCCCGGTTATCCTTTCCCGGCGTGTGCTCAGAGGGGTGAGAAGAATGTGTAGGGATAACGTCGGGCAATTCTTTAGATAAAATATTCTTTTAAAATACAATAAACATTTTTTTCATAAAAATCTCGGAAAGTTCTTGCGGTGTTTCTCAACGCCAAAGTTAGAATAACTTTTTGAAGCATCTACATAATTAAGGTTATAGATAAATATATATATATATATATATAATATATATATAATATATATAGATAATATATATATATATATAGTTATCTAGAGCAGACTTGTGCGCTGCCGAAGCACATAGAGGAATATGTGCCGTGTATGGAACAAATGCTGTAGCAGAACGAATATGAGAAAAACGTTTTTCGAAGCTCTATCGCGATCTAATAGGCCAAATACCTTTGGTCATGACCAACTAAAGATTATGAGTGAAGTTGATCGACGCGTAACGAGAAATATCTGGATATAGTAGATAATAGATAAACATATCTTAGACAATGCCAAACATTTGTAGTCAAAAAATGCTTAATGTCGATCAATCAAAAGATTTAATTCATTTTAAGCGGCATTTTTGTACAACCGCATATATTTAAATGCGATCGGAACATATACATATAGCCAATCAAGTGCATTAAGATGAATTTCTCTTGGCTTTTGTTATATTTATAGCTTAGAGAATCCGGGAAGTATGCCTACGATCAGGATAGGATTCCCTTTTTTCAATAGAGATTGATCGTAACTTAAGAGAGAGACATTTGCGAAAGCTTTTTTATATATTCTATAGATATATTTGTTGTTTGTCAATTTGCTCGAAAAACAAAGTTACGAGTGGCGTCACTTCGGTAACATTAATCAATTGTTAAGGGTTAAACGTGGCTGAATGTAATGGGTTAACCTAAGAATCATCTGCATTCTCTCTCTCTCTCTGTGTGTATTGTTAATGGGCTTGTCTTTGTTGTGTTGCGCTCTATACTTTCTTGTAAACGTTTTGCGTCTCTGGTAAAAAGTCTCGAGTATTCATTCATATTCTTCGTTAGGTTTCTACGAGGTTGTTGTCTTAGATATAATTTTTATTTATTTATTTATTTATTTATTTTTTTTTTTTCTCGTCTTAAACAAAAACTACACATAATTATTATTGAATTTTTAATTTTCAAGTAATTGCTGTTTCCACTTTATTTCAAATTGTTTTGTTTATAAATTCCGAATTATATATATATATATATTTGAATATTTCAAAATTAATTGTAAAACATTTGCTAACTAAAACTAGTAACTGTTGCAGGCACAATAGATGAAAAAAAAAAAAAAAAAACCAAAAAAACAAAAAACAGAAAAAAGAATTAAAACAATTAACTATAAATTAAATTATATACATGCTTTTATCAAACGCATATGTTAACAGAACACGGGGGCGACCATGCGAATAAAAAAAAAAATAAAAAAATAAATAATAAGTTTAATAATAAAGGCTAGGCTCTCTTACAAGAAAAACAGAAAAATACTAAAATTATAAATAAAAGTTGTAGCTGGTTTTCTGGCGAAGAAAGTGTGTGTGGTGGGAGTGGCATGGACGCGTTCTTATGTGCACTTTTTTTTTTTTTTTAAGTTAATAATTATTCTTTCTCTTATATAGTCGGGCTCAGAAGCAGGGAAGAGGAGTAAGACAGGGAGAAGGAGGAGGAGGGGGGGGAAGAAAGGAGATGGATAGCGCAGCTAATATATAAGATTTTACATAAGCTGTTCAAAATCGGTTATATAATACTGAGCACGCTTTTGTACTTCTGGACGCAAAACATTGCCGCCAAAACCGATAAAATAATTAGCTGGAGGTACCGCTTCCAGATCTGTGGCACCGTCACCGATCATAGTAACCAAAGTATCTTTTGGATACATTTGCCTTATATTGGCAATAGCCTCTGCTTTACCGCCCGACCTTGACGTAGGTTGACTGGCATCAAAGTCCGCATAATCGCCGTTATAGAAAAACATCAATTTATTCGCATAAATGTTCTTTAACGAAATGCCCAACTCAATGGCCACCGGTTCGATTAGACTATGAAAGCCCCCAGATATTAGGTAGATTTCTTTACCTTTCGACTGTAAATGCTGGATAAAACGTTTAATATTACGGCTTAATGTGCTGGGACGTTCTCTTAAAAAGTCTGAAATTTGCTTTTGACTTGGTTGAATAATATCCAAACGCATTTTTAATGCGTCCTGAAATGTCATAGTGCCAGCCATAGCATCTTTGGTTACACGAGCGACTTCAGAGCCTTTACCGCAAAAATCGGCCAACTCGTCGATGCCTTCTTCGCGTATCACAGTCGAATCGACATCAAAGCAAACAATATTCGTTTGTTCGATAATTTTGGCCGCCAATTCCACATTTCTACATTTTTGTTGATTATCCACGCTGCCGTTATGCATGCCAACCGCATGGCAAGTACCGGCTACACCAATCAAAGAAGACGCACAACCATTACTAGTTGTGCGAGCTACACTAAGACCGATAGTCGAATTCATTATTATACTGATAAAGCGTTTAATGTTGCTGCCGAAATTTTTTTTTTTTCTTCTTTTAAAAATATGTAAAATACACGCGCTCTTTAACAAACGGTATAATTTATTTTGCTAACAGTTTGCGCTTTACTTTGACTTTTTTGTTTTTTTGTTTGCTGCGCTTGCCTTTTTGCTCTTAGTATTCATAAAATTTCTTAACACGTTTTACTTTTACTTATATATTTACTCTTTTATTTATATATATATATATATATATATTTATATTTAATTTATTTTTGATTATTATATTCTTCTGCAAATTCCTTGAAGAATTCCGAAGGCAAATTAATTATATTTGATTCCTTTTAGCAATAATTTAAACTATTTGCCCATATGTGAGAGTCTGATTTGTTAGATCTAGACCGCAAGACTTTTTAGTTGTAACTGATTTAGTTTCGTTTGTAAATCGCTTTATAGGAAAACTCTTTTTATATATACACAGGCAGGCAATAATTTTTGCTTTCAATACGAAAGTAACAGAAATACAAATAAATTAATAAAAATTTATAGAAAACAAAAAAAAAAAAAAAAAATTTAAGAAAAAACAAAAAAAAAAAAAAGAAAAAAAATAAAAAAAAGTAAAAATAAAAAAATGTATAAAAATTGAACAGAACAACAGGCGAGAGTCGTACGTGTACTATATAAAGATCGAGCGCGTAGTAACAACCGTACTCAGTGTCCGACTCCGTATAAAATAATACTCTTGTTATTATTCGATCACCATTGACGACCACGATATTCTACTCAGAGAAGGTGTGAGAGAGGGATAGAGAGAGAGAGAGAGAGAGAAAGATAAAGAGAGATAGGTAGATAAGGAGACAGGGACAGAGAGAGAGAGAGAGAGAGAGAGAGAGAGAGAGAGACAGGCCAACCATTAACTAATAATAGTATACCATAGAGAGATAGTAGCTTATGTATAGAGCAACGGCGGCTACATTTTTCTAAATATGTTTGTGATAATGTATGTGTATATGTGTATTATTATTGTCGATTTAAATAACTAGCCTGTGCTTGCCTTTATGTTATCGGTTCTGGAGACAAAAGTAAAACAAGCAAAAGACAAAATGTGAAATATATCATAAGATCCAGTAAACCACACCAAAAAAAAAAAAAAAAAAAAAAAAAAACAACAAATAAGGTTTTGGCCGAATCTTTTAATACCCATCAACTTCATATATAAAAAAAAAAAAAAAAAAAATTACGTGTACGTAGACGATTTTTTCCATTTTAGTCCCGATAGACATACTCTAGAATCATCCGCAATATGAAAATTTTTACCGTCGTACTTGTTATAGTTTCCGAGTATTAAGTAAAGAAAAAATCATTTTTTCTTTTATCTTCGAAATCAAAGTTATTTTAAGTTCAAGTTGTGTAGTGCAGATGTGCCTTTTGAGCGATTTGGTGGACCACTTTTAAATACTTAACCCATACAAGAATATCAAATGTTTTTGCTAAATTACAAATCGATATTTCATTTTTGCAATGGGTACAATTTTTACCCACAAACATGCCTGGATCGATTTATAATTTGTTAATGATCAGGAATACATAATATATATTTTGTAATCTCTTTGAAGGCTCCTCCTTTCTGGGCGTTGTGGTGTATGTTTTGACAAAATGAATACATGCCTAATTTTTCGTTAGTGTGTATTGAAAAGAAAAAAATTAATAAATAAATAGAATATATATATATATATATATGTAGAGTTGGAAGAAATCTCAGCTATCTCAGAAAGATAATTATGTCGAATCAATGGACCGATCAAGGCTTTCCTACGCCTTCCGTTCAATAATGTCTATTGCAAGTTCCAGTAGTTTGCATGTTTGCGGGACAGCATTTCATCAGGCAAGCAGCAGTGTAGTTCGTATATTCCTACATGTAGGTATGTTACCTATGAATCGTCAGATTTGAGGATGATTCTTATATATTTTTTTTTTTTATGGGTATAAAAACTGTTAATTATTGGGCGTGCCAATAGAGAAATCAGAAGTACTGACAGTCCCTCTATATATTACGGTAATATTTATTACAATAAATTGGAAATTGCAATTTTATCCTTACCGAGTAGATGATTGCTTGTGGCAGTATGTTATTCCCATTAATATCGGATTGTTAGGCAATAGTATAAATAGAATAAAACTAAGAATATATGAGTAAGAACCATGCACAAAAATCTAGTCTCGGACGCGTTATTTTTGTGATGGTAACAAACGTGTGAACAAATATAGTATACACTCATTTGCCGGTAGTGGATATAAAAGTGATATTTATGGACGGACAGTTAGGACGGAACATAAAAACTAATCAAATAATTTTAAGTAATTTTCTCCTTCACATTTTCCTTCTTTGCCTCTTTTGCTCTCTTTCTTAGACCATTGTACACGTCGCTTGTTGCTTTCATAATAAAATATGATCGTATGATTGTTTTTATTGTTATTGTTGTTGTATTATAATACTTAATAACTACAAAAAATGCAAAAACAAAAAAAAATAATATAAAATAAAATAAAATAAAAAGACAAGAAAACGAACAAACAATACCTGTGAACAATATTTTTGTTATCAATGAGAGAAACCAGAATAAACAGCTTAAGAGGATTAATACGCTACACTATCTGGTGGTTGGTTAAAGATGATAATGAAATCTCCGTATATGGATTAGAAAATGTCTACACTTGTATTGTTTTATTAGGTATTAATGGTCGCATTTATTATTAATATATATCGCGTTTGTTTTTACGAAAATTATTTATGATTAAATCAGAAAAAAAAAAAAAAAAAATCTCATATTTGGGCTAAGAAAAAATTTCGATAACAAAATTCATATATATATATATGCATATATATGTTTCTATGTACGTATATACGTACCTTTACAAAACTAATTCAATTTGATCTAAACCTTAAGTCCTTCAAATTATCGGACTTGATTTTGACTATACATACATATATACATATAATATTTTGGTCTATTATCTTCAAAAAAAAAAAAAAAAAAAAAAGAAGCAAATAAGCAAATAAGATAAAATATTAGTTTCAAGCGTAATTTCCTCTCGTGACCATATCCATAACAGTCTCGTTTAAAATCAATACCCTGCCATCGTGTTATACCTATCAGACGTATTAGATATAATATAGATAGATCTAGCTCTTAGTATATTATTCCGATCGTTTCAGATTGATTTCGATTCATCGATTCAAGCTTGCGTCTGATGTCTGCTCAGATATTTCTATTATATTCATCAACATGCAGATATTGAAAAAGTTATTATATCAAACTCACGGAATATTATTATTAATTAATATTTCATCATATGAATATGATATAAAGCAATATCGCAAGCGATATGCCCATTTTTTGTAAAGCGTTCCACTACTGCATTGCACAACTGCTGCGTAAGAAAAAGTCATAATTAATATGAGAGAAAAGCTTAATTTTTCATAATAATAATAAAAAATTAACTATGACAAGTTTTGGAATGCATGGATCTATTTTTTTCAACAAAAAAAGTCCAATTTTTATTACTTTATAACGAGAAATAGATATCATGGATATCATGGTCTTTGAGATAAAAATGAGTTTTTCTAACTGCGACCGCCCCCCCTATATCAAATCACAGTTGGGGCTATCGTCTGTCTATACATAAATTTTTGTATCTAATCAGAAAAATAAGCAAAGAGTTTTACTCTATTACGAGGAAAATAGTGTTGAATGCTTGGTTTGTATTATATGCAATCGGGATTATAGTGGAGTCGTGTAAGGAATTTTGGGAAAATAATTGCAAGAAGTAGTGTATTCAACGTTTATGTGTAGGGTTCTTTCATAGCGAATATTAACTGTGGACATCATACAATTTCTGAATTAATAGAAAAAATCATTATAATCCTCGCCTACTGTAGAATAGATAGAAATTTTATATATATATATATATATATTTTTTTTTTTTTGGGGCTTTATTTATGGTAAATGAATTAATCTAAAATTTGCCTACATATAATTGTTTAGTTGAAAATATATTTCATTTAGAATTGTGTGAACATGTTATCAAAAATACATTTTTATTCACTTGTGAACGAATTTGATCAATAGCCGTCACTCCAACTCCATACACGATATTTTTAATTGTACATGTAGTGAGGAGCGAGGATTTAAGAAAGTTTTTATGACAAGCTAGCAAAGCAGTCCGCCGATAAATCAATTCAATGCAACACTATTCGAAAGATCGGCTAAGTAAGAATTATTTAACTATGACTAGCATACAGATGGCTAGCTGGCAAACATCTAAGACGGCGAGAAGAGAGTAGAGCTAGTAGAGCTTATTGAAAGGTGTAACGAGTAACGCGAGCATAGCATCGTTCAATTACAAGCTTCTCTCTGCCATATGTTCCTCATAGAGGAGTAGGGGGCGGAGGGGGAGAGAAAAGACAATATTGATTACATAGCATAGCATTGACATAATAGCAAGTTTTTAGGAAAAGGTAAAAATAAGACAAAAAATTTGATATGAATGCAAAAAATCTTCTCTTTAGTTGAAAGATACGATTTTTTTACTTTATTTATTTATTTAGTTTTTTTCAAAACTCAAAAAATCTGTAAGTAAATCTGGGCAGTAAAATGACATATGTCATTTAGGTAACTGATGTTTCAAGCGATATGTAACTCAATAGTATTGTTACGCGATTATTTAATAGCGTGAATGGAAATTTTATTGTGTCTCTTATAAGTGTTGTCTTTGTACGTGAGCGCAAATGTTTTAAATAATTAATTTCAAATGCTTCTGTCCAGACTTACTGTTCGTAGTATTACATATCTTGGCGGCTGCTTGAAACACTTCACTTGGCTACTACTACTGCTACTACTTTTCTCAATATGCTGAACAGGTGCTTGCTGGCTCTTCTGATTCGAGTTATCTGTCTTTATTTTTTTTTTTTTTTTTTTTTTTTTTTTTTTTTTTTTTTTTTTTGAAATTATTTTTTTTTTTTTTTTTTGCGGAAAGAACTTCAAATTCAAGCTATTATTTCTCAAGTGATTGAAATTACAAAAGGGAAAAAAATTGCAAAAGTTTATATGACTTAAACGAAGCGATTTGTAAAAATTTTATTTGGCTTTTGTCAATTTTAAGCATATC